CATAAGAAAAAGAAATGTTTCCTTCCAAAAAAATAAATCCGTAGAAATGAATTAGCTGGTGCTGATCTGAGGGCCAGCTCTCTGGCTGGGTTAAGTGTTGGATGATGGCTCTGCGCTGCAGCCAACGACCTGCTCCTCCACAGTGCTGAGCAGATCCAGATGCTGCTGCGAGCGGCGCTTCGTGCTGCTGGGGCCCAGGGGCAGCTCCAGGTATCTCTCCATGGGTGCCGCTGCGAGTCACGCTCTTGTGCTCCCTTCTGTCCCCAGAGAGCTGTGAGGGGGTGGTGTGCGGCCCCGACAAGGTGTGCAAGATGAAGCACGGCAGGCCCCAGTGTGCCTGCGCCCCCGATTGCTCCAGCCTGCCCCGCAAGCTGCAGGTCTGCGGCTCTGATGGCTACACCTACCGTGATGAGTGCGACCTGCTGACGGCCAAGTGCAGAGACCACCCCGACCTGGAAGTGATGTACCAGGGCAAATGCAAAAGTAGGTTCTGCCGCGTCCCTGCTTTGCTCCCATCCCCTGCCCCATGGCTCTCGCTGCTTCCAAGCTGCGTCCAGGAGGGAAAAAGGGATGAACAGCGATGAGCTCCCCAAATTACACTGCTTGGCAGCGATGATGAGAAGCTGCGCTGCTCTGTCATGTTGTGCCAGCACGTCAGGTCACTGTCCCCACCTCTCCTGCCCTGCACAGCCAGATCTCTCTGTTAGCCTAGCCATTGGGGAGCTGGTCCTGCCCTGTGCAGACAGAGCTGCCTTTGCAGCTTGCTCCTCTCCCACGGGAACAGATCTGCAGGCTGGGTTTGCTCTGCACAGGGGCCAAGCGCAGCCCCCACCTGCATCTCCCTGCCTGGGGTTAACTCACGGCTGAGCTCTCTGGCCCTGTGTCGCCTTCACTGCAGGGTGGAGCAGCAGAGCTGGCACTGTGGCAGCTCAAACCGGGCGGCCAAGGGGCTGCCTGGGATGCTGGAGCAGCTCATCGATACGATGGGGGATTCAGCTTCGCTGCAGCTGGGGAATAGCAGTCCGTAAAATGTCACTTCCAAACATCGAGCCCCTTTTTTGTTGTTTTGTTAAAGAGAGCAGTAATCCTCCTCTACCCTGCCAAGAACTGTCAGAATTATTATGATTATTTTCGCCAGCCCTCCTCTCTGAAATGCTTTGCCTGTCAAGCTCTGGACTGCACAGTAAAATTTGGGGCAAGAAATGTGAGTTGCAAGCTGGGAGTTGCAGATGCCAAGTCTCCTTCCAATCCAGCAGGAAAATAGAGGGAGGAGAAGGGAAGGCTTCGAGCCGTGTTTACAGCATCCGGGGAGTACGGCGGGTCTGCTGTGCTCCAGGGCTGCTGGTGTGCAGAGCCCACAGGACGGGGTGCACGAGCTCCCTGCTCTGCTATGGGGCTCAGAGCCCTTCCCAGGTCCTGATCAGCCCCGCTCCTTTAAAGGCCAGGTGCTGGTAGCTTGGGCACTGCAGTGAGGATGTCAGCTCCCTGTTGCATGCACGATTCCCGCTTCCTCCTTGCTTCCTGGCTGCACTGACCGTGGGAGTGGGATGCTGAACTTCACAACTCGCTCTTCCTGAGATGCTGAGCCTCAGACTCGACGTGCTTCCCTTTAGAATCCTGTTCCAGCGTGGTGTGTCCAGGCACCCACACTTGCGTGGTGGATCAAACGGGCAGCGCTCACTGTGTGATGTGTCGGACGGCTCCGTGTCCAGAACCCACCAGCCTGGACCACGCTCTCTGTGGCAACAACAACATCACCTACCCGTCCGCGTGCCACCTGCGCAGGGCCACGTGCCACCTGGGGCGCTCCATCGGCGTGCGGCACTACGGGAGCTGCTCAGGTGAGCGGGACCAGGAGCTCGGCCATCGGTGGGGCTTTGCACATCCAAACCTTTTTTTTTTATATCCCCTCATTCCTTTTCTTCTTTTCTCTCCTCCCTTCCAGCCTCGGCCAGGTTCTCCCTGGAGACGGATAACGCGGAGGAGAACTACGTGTGAATCCTTCCCGCGCCGCGAGGCTGCGGCCGGCAGACAGGGGCATTATGTGTATACTGTACAAAGCATATACCTGATATTTATTAAGATTAAAAGGTCCTTATTTATATCTGTATGCTACGCAGATGCAGAGGGACGGCTCCTGGCCGTGCCTGCTCACATCCCCTGTGCTGCTCCGGGCATCAGGGGAGCGCCTGCACTGCCGCACCCCCCCATAACGTGTCCTTGGACGGCCGCCCCGGGCCTATTTATTTTTGGATTGAATTCTTGGTACTGTGCTGACGTTTCTGGCCAGGACCTCGGGGTCGAGTAGGAATCTGCTCTTTATCTTTCCCCGGAGGGGCTCAGCCCCAGCTGCCAGCAGCACGGAACGGAGCGCGGAGCCGCGCCACGTTTGAGATGGATAGATCTCTATTTTTCTATGTCGTTTTTATTCTCCTGCGGTTTATAGCAACTGATTGCATTTAGGTTCTCCCCAGCCCACCAAGACCCGGCTTCCAGCTCTTCTGGAGGCAATACTGGAGCCGCCCCGAGGTGCTCCAGTCCCCACTCCCAGCACTGCTGCTGCTTGTCCTCCTTCACCCATCCGTGACCAAACCCACGTGGAAGGCAAAGGGCTGCAGGGCTGCTGGGACACCCAGCCCCGCATCCCCACTCCCTCTCAACGCCCTCTGTATTTATTTTAACTTCCTCTCTCTCTTGTTTTTGTGCGTGCGTTGTGATCTGTGTACATACCATCTCATCTCTGACACCTCGCCTTTATATAAATACCGTATATATAATATATATAAATACCCTATTTTCTATTTTTGTATGATTGTGTTCTGATTGCTGAGGCAGGCGTTATAGGAACGTATACATTTCCTATTCCGTATCATTTAGGAGCATTTTACGACTGTGTTACGATTCGGATTACAATTAAAAAAGAATAAAAGCTGCTGTGGTTCTGCTTTTGTTGCGCTGCTCCATGGCCCTGCAGGCTGCTGCAGCCCCGCATTGGAGGAGCGCTTTCCCCTCTGTTACCTGCAATGGAAGCTGGCTGGAGGGATCTGCAATCAATTGGGTCTGTAACCTAAATTGGAGCAGCCTCAGCCTGGTAGGGTAGCAGGTGAAGCCTCAGCTCAGCTCCTGCTCTGTGGCTGCACCCGCCCGGGCCACCACCACATCTGTTTCAGCTTTGTGTCGTGGTTTTTCCACCCCAGCCAAGTCTGTGAGCAGCAGCGGCGAGAAAGGAAAGGGGAGAGAGAAGCAAAAAAAAAAAGAGCAATGCAAATCAAATGTGTTCCTAATATCAGTGTGCGCCGTAAGGGTTTGGTATTTCACAAAACAATTCCTGCCATTAATTGAGTCCTGATGTGCAAAGCGGAGGCGCGGGAGCTGGGCTGCAGCCTGCAGCGTGCCTTTGGTGGCTCCCAGAGCAGTGCTGCTGTGTCCCCAGCTGTGTCCTTGTATGTGGGGATGAGGGACAGCACGGCTGCGCCGTGCCCCTGCTTGTGGGATGGGTGCTGGGGAGCAGCCGTGGTGCTCAATGGGGCTCTGCAGCGCTCGGTGCCGTGCAGCCCAGGCCTGCAGCAGCTGGAGTGGCTGCGTCTCACAGCTCCAAGGTACCGACCTCATGGCTCTGGTGCTGACCCACGCCGTGCAGCAGGCATGGGCTGCAGCAATGACATCAGCAATACCAGTGAGCAAGAGATTTCAGCTTCCAGAACGGCCCTGTGAGTCAGCCGTCTCCTTGCCCCAATGTTTGGGTGGTCTGGGGTGAGCTGGGACAAACGCAGCAGCATCGTGCACACCCTGGGGGCTGGCAGCCCTGCTCTGGCAGCATCCTCCCTGGAGACCCACAGGGATCTGAGGTTCCCCTGTGTCTGGCAGCCTGGTAACATCCATCCTCTGCTGAGCATCCCCAAGGCCTCTTGCTGCAGAGACCATGAGGGCTGTAGGCTGATCTTGGAGTGCTGGCCACGCTCTGCTATTTGTGCCCTCCACCGCTGTCTGAGGGATGCCCTGTGCCAGAGTGCCAGCAATTGGCAGATGAAACAAACAGCTGGGAGCAGGGAACGGCTGAACTGTCCCCAGGGGTGGCTGCAGAGCTGGGAGAGAGCCCTGTGCTGCGTGTTGGCAGAGGTCACGCTGCTGCTCACACACATTCCTGGGTCCCCGGGGTCAGTGCTTGGCCCCATCCCCGGGGAGGAGTGCAAAGTCAGAGCCTTACAGCAGCATCCCAAACCCATCTGCCTGTATGGGTGGGAGCAGGTATGCTGGGAGCTGATGGCTTTGGGATGTGGCTGTTCACATAACACAGTGATCCCGTGGTGTGATGGGGAAGGGGTGGTGTGGGATGGGGCAGGATAAGGAGTTTGCCCCAGTCAGAGGGATGCTGAGATGCTCCATGGGTGGCAGTGCCTGTGTGCAGATCCTGGCTCACAATAGTGCCTGGTCCTGAGCAGGGTCTGCTCCTCCTCTCCTCTCTGCATTTCCATTCATGGAACCCCATAAGGCAAGCTGGGCTGTGGGGTAGCACCAAGCCCATGATCCCAAGAGGGCACTGTCCATCCTCCCTGCGCCAACAGCAGGGGCAGGACATGAGAAGGGACAGCTGGAAAAGGCAGGAGGTGGGCAGCAGCTGCCTTTGGCAGGGCAGGATGAAGGGTGGCCGCAAACAGCCTTTCTGGGATCAGCCACCCAAGGTGGGATTAAAGGGGGCAGGCAGCTGGGGTTGGGTTCTGCAGGCTGTGAGTAGGTGAGGCTGTCCCTCAGTCTGTCCCTCAATCTGTTCCTGCAGGGTTCCTGCAGACTGTGGCAGGATCAAGGTGAGGTTATGCTGGGGTGGAGAGGGGGAGAGGGTCTGTGGGGTTTTCTCCTACACCAGAGCTGGGCTGGGGGCCCCATCGGAGGTGGAAGTGAGATGGGTAAAAAGAGAGCAAACAGACAGAGGTATGGGAATGAGGTTTTATTTAGGGAGCAAAATGGTGATGCAGCAAGGGGGGAATTGAGGCACTGGGGTTCTCTGTGCAGCCGGGGGGATGCTGAGCTCCTCGCTACCATCAGCCTCCTGCATTGCCTTGGAGCACGTAGGGAAACTGAGGCAGGAGTGATGAGCCCTGGTGTCAGTTCCCATTGAACATCAAAGCCTTTGGAGCCGGAGAGGGATGTGGGAGGCCTGGTCTTTCCCACCCCGCTGCTCCTTGGTCCCCCCCGCCTCCTCTGGGCCTGGTTTGTGCTTCTTCTGCCCGTGGGGCTGGCGATGGCTGAGCACAACTTGATGCACCCAGTCGATGTAGTTGGAGATCCTGGTGAAAATGTCGGGGTACCGGCGGTCCCCACATCTCTCCCCGGAGAACGAGACGACACCATAAACCTTCCCTTTGAAGACCAGGGGTCCCCCAGAATCACCCTGTGATGGGGAGTGGATTAATAGCAGCCTTATGGGCCAGGAAGGCCGGGAGGGTTGGGGTGGCTGCGTGGCACTCACCGCACAGACGCCCTGCAGCGTGGCATTGCGGCTGGCCCCGCACAGCATGTTGCCTGAGACACGGCCCTTCCATAGAGTCCGACACAGGCTCCTCTTGATGATGGTGGTGTTGGCTTCCATCAGCTGGATGGGCCTCTCGCCGTAGTTGGAGATGTCCCCCCAACCCACCACGGAGCAAAGGGTGCCTGGTTTCAGGTCGATGTGTGGCCGGGGCAGGCGGATGCGCTTCACGAATGCGTTCAGCGTGGCCATGTGGTTCAGCTGGGCACGGAGTGGGGGGCACGGCTCCCTTCCTCTTCCACACAGACCCCAAGGAAGAGCCCCTCCCCGCTACTCCTGGGCCCGGTTCCCACTGCCCCACTGAGCTCCCAGCGTGCTTCCACGTCCCGGCCCTTCCAAATGGAACCAGTGCGCACCGGAGGCCGGGGGTGCCCGGAGTGCGGGCATCATCCATCCCGGGTGCAGCGCTTCTCCGGAGTACACTGACACCTAGTGTCGGTCCCCAGCCCAGCCCGTGGCACAGGGCGCGGAGCTCACCTTGAGCAGTCGGATGTCGTTGTCCACCGTCCGAGGGTCGTAGAGGGGATGCGCGATGGATTCCTCGATGCCGAACTCTTGCTTGGACTCTTCGGGCTGCTCCAGGCTGTGCGCTCCCAGCACCACGCGGACGGAGGGGTTGCGCCTACGGGGGAGCTGTGAGGAGGGATGGGAGACCTCGCAGAGGGAGAGGGGACAGGGAGCTTGGGGAGAGAGCTGAGCAACGGGGTTTTGCTCCAGGGTGAGGATATCCATGTGAATGGGAGCCAGGGGAAACTACTCACCTGGGAACGGGGCAGTGGGCGGCTGTCATCACCCACCTGGGCCACACCAGGAAGCCCCCACAGAAGTGCTGCCCGTCCATCTGGATGGAGGCGATGAAGGGCCGCGAGTGTGGCACCACTGCCTTGCCCCCGATGACCCAACTGCTGTGAGCACCTGGTGGGTGCAGGAGGTCACCAACCGGGGGGGGTTTGGACACCCAGCACTGCTCATGAGCACAAAGTCCTCAGCATCGCTCCCAACCCTCCCAACTGCTGCCTTCCCATCACCTGTTGGACCCAGCGCAGAGACCCCCAGGCTGAGGATGAGCAGAGCAGGGAGCATGCTGATGCAGCGTGGGCCACCACCACCTCCTGTGAGGCCACCTGAGGCTGGGGGGGGGGTTAAATAACCCTGCAGGGTGGTGCTGTGGGCACAGCCGCTGTATGGGCACCGGCGGGTACCCCCCTGCTTCCTCCTCTCAGTATTTCTGCCTTGTGCAATCATTTTGGATGGAGATATGCAATCCTAAGGGGGTGATGGGGGGTTTGGTTTTGCTGTCACAGAGCTGTGGGGGCAGCTTGGCCTGTGGCACTGCCCGGTAGCTTTTCCTTGGGTGGAGGAGACGTTGCTTGCTGGGAAAGAAGGAAGAGAGAAAGCAGAGCAGCTTCCCAGCCTGTGCCTGGTTGCTTTTACGCCTCGAGCTAACTGGGATGAAATCCCCCATGGCACAGAGGGTGCAAGTGAGAACAGAGCCCTGCCGTGGCCCAGGGACACCTTCCAGGATGTCCCCAGGGCTGACAGTGGCCTGGTGCTGCCTGCTGTGTTGCCTTTCATCCTCCATCAGCTGCTGCCCCTGCTCTGCATTCCCATGGGTACCAGCTTGAAGGGATGGGGGTCAGAGAGCCGGGCTGCCCCTGCTGCAGAGCTGGATTTAAGGAGATCTCGTGCCAATGGTGGGCAGATTTCTTAACGCCACCTTGGTTTGCGACTTGCCCTGGGCTTCCTGTGTCAGTTTGCCAGTTTACCCAATGCAACCGTCATCAGGAAATGGAGGAGCCGACAGAGGAGCAAATAATCCAGGCATCCCTCTGCTGCGGGGGGGGGGAGGAGTGCCTTTGGCACCCTCATGGCTTCGGGGACGCGTGTCGGGAGCAAAGCCTTCGGCACCCCTCCTGCCTCCGCCCTCCATCCCCGGGGGGGGTGGTTCGGGCAGCACTCGCGACCCCTGCATTGCGCTCCCCCCTATCGGGACCCCCGCACCCCTGTAAGCATCCTCGGGGCCGCCCGGGCGCGGCGGCGGCAACGAGAAGCGACGGGCGGAGAGCGCCGCGCCCCGGGGCCGGGTGAGGGGCGGTGGCAGTGGCGGACCGCGCCCGGCAGACGGAGCTGTGCGGGAGGCGGGAGCACCGGCGCGGCCCCGACATCCCTGCGCATCCCGCAGCCCCGCCGGGGATGCCGCCGCCCGCCGGGCCCTGAGCGCCGGGACGCCGGCGGCTGCCGGCCACGCTCCGCCACGCCTCGCCAGGCACGACCCAGCGGAATCAGCCTGGAAAATGGAGTGAGTACCGAAGCCGTTCCCCGCGGGACCCCCGCAACGGGCCTCGGGGCTCCCCGTGCTGCGCACCGCAGTGTCGAGGTGGGGGCGGCCCTCGGGTGCCGAGGTTCGGGACCCCCCCGGTTGGGCTGCGGGGACCCGTTGACGGAGGGTGGAGAAGTCGCTCGCATCGATTCGCATCGCCCCTCGGCGCGGGGATCCCGCACCCCACTCGTGCGGCTCGCATCCCCCCATGCTGCGGGTCGGGGCCCTCAATCACGGCGCGTCCCCGCACAGCGGGCTTGGAACCCGCACCGAGGGGCTGCGGAACCCCCGATGGCGATTGCTCAGACCCCCATAGAGCTCATAGAGCCCCCCCTGCCTCTCCAACCCCCCTCGGTTCCTGCCCTACTGCGGGGCGCCGAAGCGACCACCCGTGGTGCGTGGATGGAGGCCCCGAGCGGGTAGGAGAGCTGCGGGGCTGGAGCGTCTGCCGACAGCGGTGCGGGAGGCGGTGGCGGGGGGGGAGGGGGGAAGAAGGGGGGATGGGGTGGGAAGGGCGTTTATTTTTCTGTTTTGAACCTGTTGTTGCTGCTGCACGTAGAGCTGGGGGCGAGTGGGTGGCTGGGAGCCCGCGGACCCCTCCCTCTGAACGCGGTGCCGAAGGGCCCGGCTTGGAGCGGGGGGGGGGGGGGGGTTGCAACCATCATCGTGCTGGGGAGGAGACCCTCGGGAGCTGAGGAATGCTCCCTGACCTTCTTTGTGTGCTGTTGTGGGGCCCTGCCCTGCACGGTTGGAACCTGCAGGATCGGAGCTGAGGACGGGGCTCTGCAGCCCTTTGCTTCCCTTTGCTTCCCTCCAGCATCTCCTGGGTTTGGCACTGAGGTCTTTCCAGGGGAACCCATCCAGCCCAACCCAGGGGTCAGTGACTGTCTGCTCCTCGTGGGCACCTCGCCCTGATTAACCAGCTGCCTGCTAACGAAGCACTGAGTACTCAACAGGCTCAGACCATCTGCCATTTAGCCCCAGTTTGGGGCAGCCCCACAGGGGTGTTGGAGGGCTTGGGGTGCTTGTTTCCTCCTGTCAAGGCTGGGCTCTGGTTTACTATGCTCAGATAGAGAGCTGGGGAGTGGAAATGGGGTGGGGGTCAGCTCCCAGCCTGGTGACAGCATAGGTGACAGCTCTGCTCCTCTGTGCTGAGCCCCTCTGTCACTGGAGGCTGTAGGATCGACCCTACTGGCTGGTTGTCAGCAGGGGACGAGGAATCCCCTTCAGTCCCCTTCAGAGCTGTGTTGGGGCTTTTGTTTGTGTGCTGGAAATACCAGATTGTTCCTTTTGGTGACTACAGACCCTGCTGGGGAAATGTGCCCTGAAGGTGAGAGTGTGGGGCTGAGCAGCAAAGCAGAGCCAGTGCATGCACAGTTTCTGTTTGGGCAGCTTTGGTGCAGCCCCTTCTGGTCGTTCAGGTTTTGGCTCTTATGGAGATGAATCTTGAGATCTTGGGCTGGAATACACGTGCAAAAGTTGGTGGTGGTTGAAATGCTGACGTGTTTTCCCTGGGTATAAGGACAGACCTGCAGCCCCAGTGTTCCTGCACAGGGTTTCACCAAGGGTCTGGTTTGCTCTGCCAAATTCACACCCTTGTCATTGGGATGGGAGCTTAGGAAAGTCCTGGGATCAGTGGAGCCCCATGGCCAAAGGCTCCCCAGGCACAGGCCTGGCTCTGTGGTTGTTGATGTGTGCTGGGAAGTGTTGTTCCTGGGCTTGGCTCTTGCTTTCCCCTGGCTTTGGCAGCAGCTGGAGGAGGGTGCTGGACACCAGGAGCTGCTGCTGCCAAAGGAGGTTTGGCTAAAAGCTTGTGTCTCTTACAAAAGGCTCTGCTGGTCCCATCAGGGCTGCTCTTGTGTCTTCTGCTCCTCCTGCTAGTGATGCTGTTGAGTAAGCTGGAGGTTTAGCATCTCCACTTCTGGCTGCTGACAGCTCCTGCTGATATCTTTGCACCTTGCTGTTTCTGCTCTCCTTGGGAGCCAGCCGCTCTCCTGTTCTGCCCTCTCCATCACTCCAGCTCTGAACAGGAGCCTCACAGAGGGGAAGAAGGGCTATTTCTGCCCTTAGGGTAACCTGGGACACTCCTTTGGGGTGGGACTCAGCGTCCTACACTCCCCTCCATGCTCCTCTGTTGAGATGCAAAACCCAGTGAAGCCCTGTTCCCAAGGTCCTGGAGGAAGCCATAAAGCCTGGCTGCAGACAGCCACACAATGGCACCTGGGGAGCAGGGGCTCAGAGTTCAGCCCAGGAGTGCACGAGTTGGGGAAGGAACTGAAACAAGAGTGGGTTTCCTTGGGAAACTGCTGCTGGCATTCCTTGTTCCTGGCCAGAAATAGCCACTTGCCCCCATGCAGGGGAAAGGGAAAGGACGTGCACGAGGGATGGGGGCTGATGGAGGGCGGAAAGCTCAGGGCTGGAGGCAGAGGCGGGTTCAGGAAGCCTGAGCTGAGTCTGTATTTACTGCTTGCACCCGTCTGTGAGGCAGCAAACCCCTCGGGCCTCAGACAGAAGCCGGTCTCAGGGGATGAGGATGAGTCCTCAGCAGCCCTGGAGCTGCTGTCGGGGTGGGGAGCAATGCTGGCTGTGCTTTGGCAGGTGTTTCCTGGTGCAGAGGAGCTGGATGGAGGCTGGGAACAGGAGCAGAGCTCTGGGCTCAGTGTCCAGGCAGGACTCTGCACGTGAACCACGTCCCCATGTACTCCACAGAGCCTCGTGTGCCCTGGTGTTCATGGCAGCGTGGGCGCCCTGTAGGACCGAGGATGCAGCCACAGTGACCCCAGTGATGGCAGGACCTGAATTCCACGTCCCTGGGCTGGTGCTGGAGCTGCTGGGCTGCCGGCCTCAGTGGGTTGAGTGCTGCCAGGTGTGGGGAGCTCTGCTTCATTCATAAATCGTGTGGGTGTTTCCTCGTGGAGCCTTGCTCCTCTAGCTGGAAGGGAGCTGGAAACCCAAGCGTTTGGAGGGCACTTGAACCATTGTTTGAAAGATCTGTAATTTTCCAATCAAACTCCCTCCTTGAGCCTCTGTTCATCAAATATTCAGAGGATCCATTTTCTCCTGGCACTTCCAGCCCACGTCTCAGCCTGAAGAATCAATCAGGCAGCTCTGCTTGTTCTAATGCATCCTGCATTTTTTTCAGGAGCCTGGGGCTGCCATCTCCTCCTCCCACCTCATCTCCTCCCAAAGCAGCCACTCGGGATGGGGCTGTGCAGGCAGTGGAGCTGGTGTGGCTCAAAGCAAGCAGCTGGGGGCCCTGGCATCCCCTTTCTGCTGCTTGCTCCCAAGCAAAGCTTTATCCATTCCCTCCTGACCTGCTGGGAGGGATTTGCCTTTACCATGGGACCATTGCTGGACTTGGGCTGTCCCTCTGATCTGCACCCCGCTGTGAGCAGCAGTGCATCAGGGCAGGGGTTGTAGTTTCCCAGCAGCAGCAGCACTCTGGACCCAATTTATCTGGGGTCTGGCTTTTGGCACAGGAACAGCAGTGTAAATCAGTGCTGCTCCATCTATTGCCACCCGTGCTGCCACCAGCTGTACTGGGGCCCATCTTCCCAGAGCTGCAGGATGGAGTTTGGCTTGGAATGAGCCCTCTCCCTTCCTTCTCTTCTGTCTCGGAGCTGAGCTGGTGGGAATGGAGCAGAGGTCGGGGGGTGGAGGAGCAGCTTGAAACGGCTCTTCACACATTTGGATGAGCTAATGGGAAAAAAATAGAGGAAGGCAAATAAACATTATTGTTTCATGTCAGGCGGGGAGGAGACAA